ACTGTATATTATCTACGAAATAAGCACAGAGTCAGTTCGTTTCGCTTGAATTTGTATCTCAGCGTTGTTTTTCCTCGTAGAATATCTGTAATTGCGTAATTTTTGTTTAAATTTTATCGCTTTTCTAGTTTATTGAATTGAGATAAGGTGTTAAAGGTAAGACAAATCTGTCGTTGTGAAAGGAATCTTATCAAGCGTTTTTCGCTGTTAAAAGATAAGGTGTCAAAGAATTGCGCGTTTCATTTTGGAAAAGTGGGTACGTTTGGTGCATTCCGTTGTTGATTGGCGATTTATTTGAAATTTTTTAAAGTAGTCATTTATGTTATGGTGGAAGTGGTGTTCCCAACGATTAACACGGCTGCTTAGGTGTTCTCACTACTTAATATGTTTTTTTCCCGAAGTTAAACTACTAATTTTTTACTACTATTCGGATAGATTTCACTCACTCATTGCATGTTCCGGTTCCCGAATTCCAACCGCGAATCTTCACACATACGCGATATCGTTTTTATTTCCAGATATACTTTTGTTCACGTTCGCTATGAAGCAGTATTTTCCTATGTTCAATGAAATTCAATTTTGAAAGCTAAACTTTTGAACAAAGTTAAGCGACCGCCTGCTACAGTCCATGCTCAAATTCGGATTCTCACCAAAGTCCCTCAAGCGCCAAGATGCAACCACAGGGACCTCTTCTATAATGTGGGTTTCGGTGTAATGCACATCAACTAAATTGTTGTGAATGAGAGGCATGAAGCGATTTACACAAGAACGTTCCGTAGTGCAAAGCCTAGACCACGCACCTAGACTAGGTATCTACAATGTGGATTTAAGAAAAACGATTCAGCAGAATAATACTTGGTACACCACTTTTAACTCTGGATTTTAAATGTTATAAGTTACAACACATTTAACTGTTGTCTTAAAATGATAGTTGTGCAAAATGACGACCACTAGACAGATGGTTTATCATGCATTCCAGTTTCTTTTATCGGTTTTATCGGTTTTTTTACAGGTCTTTCTTTCCTTTTTCCAAAGAATTTTATGCTTCGAATAGCACGTACACTGGTAATATGGAAAAAAAACAGTGTTCATTCAACTATCTAAATAAAGTGCTATGTGCAATGGTATGCGGTCACTGCACCACCCACAGAACACCTGTCCAGCTAATTTAAAATAAATCAAAATTGAAACAGAATTTTATAATCTCTCCTCGTATACTTCCGGGATCTGCTATAAGAAAATTGAGAGACTCGGTGGCCTCTATCAACTTCCGAAAAGAATTAATTACGCAAATATTGATCAACACATAAAATACATCTTTGTCACCAATATAAAAAAATCTGACATGAAAACTCCAACCGGGCTGCACAAAGGATTCGAATAAATCAAATGACACCGCCAATCACAACTAGACCCGCGTCCGCCCTTGCGCTGAAAATAAAACTATAGATGATTCAACTTAAAATTGCGTAACTGGAATAAGTTCCAATAAATTAGCTCTCTCTGACTGACCCCCTGAAAAATTGGAAATATGGTAACCCTCCAACTGCACAACAGTCTAAGGACTTTGTAACATTTTCTTGAAATCGCATATAATTTTATAGTCATCACTCGTTTTCTGCCCAAATATTATGGTTGTTTTTTATTTTTGGGCTGTAAGGCCGTTTTTGGGCTATATTCAAAGGCACATCTGCCACTCAAGCCTAGTTAGGCCGGAAAGAAACGAATTTTATCCATTTATATTAGGTTAAATGAGTAGTTTGTGTGCTGACTAAGATTCCGTTTAGAAAACTGGGCCAGATTAAGACACACTTAAACTTATGGATGCGCGTCAAATAATTTGGGTAGATCATACGATATTGGCTTAATGACATGATGGCTCAAAGATCAAGATGCTATAATTGCAGCAACTTAAACAAATGTTTCATGTGGCGAATACATAATGGAAAATTAAGGTAGGTAAACAGAATGTGAAAAGTTCTCCTTTAGCTAGATGAACATTCACGCGACCCTAAAATCTAACGATATTTAAACACCCCGAGAAGACAAATTACCCAAGCACCTACCCATTAAGATTGATTGGAGCGATCTGAATAACTAAACAATAAAATATGTACGTAGGAAAATTGCACGTACCGTTTGGTACCGATATCATTAATATTGTTTTCGCAAATAGAACGATGATACGGTTAGGACGATTCGCTTTGATCATACATAGAAATCGGATTTTACGAACGAAATATTTCGTAAGTATTGTTTGGATGTATCTTTGTTTATGGAAAATGAGATCGTGGAACGCTTCCTTTCATATTCAGTTTCTGTTGGAAAATTGGTTTTGTTAGGCAATTCTGCAAACGACCTCATTTAATCTGAGTTATTGCTTCGAAAAGATTTCCCCCTATACGAATGTATATTATTTACAAGGAAATTAGCAAAATAAAACTGCAAGTGATTGGTAATAGATGAAATATTGGTTTGTTATCAATAATTATATGTTATAGCGGTGGTTTAAATTCGATTTTGGAATATCTTTTTTACGTGCGTGTAAAGAGTAGAATGGCATTGTAAAAACGACGTTTCCACCGCTAGTAAGGTATCTGGGTAGGGGTCTACTGGATCTCCCGGGAGAACGTCCCGAGCGAGGTGAGAACTTACCACTTGCCTCTATGGGATCAGGTGTGACGTGCGTCTTAAAGTGGAACCATCCAGCCGATGCATTTCACAACAAAAGCGTGAAAGTTTGCTTGAGATAGTCACTGTGTTTCGGCGATAAATTAGGCCCTCTCATGGAGTTGCGTACGAATGAATATATTACGGTTTGCATTGTCGCTACATTAATCGTTACCCAGATGTCGGACTGTCTTTTCTTTATCGGGTCTGAAATTTAGGGCGTTATCTGTTTCAGTCCCTCAACAAACAAAACCGAAGGTAGCCATAGAACGTATATAACGTCTATCGGTATTAATTTCCAAACTGACACCCCGAGGTACACACCCAAACTTATTATCGGTCAACTTTGTCAGTTCGAAATTTATGGCAATACCTTAATTCAACTTTAACGTAGCAAATAAGAGAGAGGCAAAGTTTGATTCTCTAAAGTTGAATTTCTCTAACGGAAAATTAAAGTTGAGGGAGATTTTCTATAACCATTTTGTAAGTGACGAGCTTTACGAAAATTGACAGATCCGAAGTGTGTAATATTCTGATTCGAAATTATATTACAACAGACTTCGACGTCACTTGGCAGCTGCATTATTGCATTTTCTAGTAAAATGCAAATTCGTTTTATAAAAGGAAATTATTCGTCAGATTTGAGTTTATGTAATCCAACATCGAATTTACTTAATAAATCGGCAATTCTACAATACACTGTATTCTAATGCTTTTTGATTTCATTGTACAGTTTCTTATAAGGAGTAACCACATTGCAATAAATCCGCTTCTTAATATCAGCAAAAGGTTAAGAAATATCAATTGCTCTCTAGCCGAGATTAGCAATTTGCAACCAATTAAATTGTTATTTTTGGAATCTTCGGTCCATTTCCTTCCTTTGTATTTTTGAATCATAATATACAGTGGATTTTATATACAGGGTGAATATTTTGTCTAGAACACTGGCATACTCTCGTGATAGTCCAAAATTGAAATTTTTTTAAATTAATTTCCAGGCTCCCGGGCGTCTTACAAATCTCAAAATCTATATTAATTAAGCGCACTTCCAATAACGCTAGCAAAAATCTTATCAGATTAAGTTTCTGCAACACAGTTAATTATCTACGGCTAATTATACTCACTTAATTGGTCGGAATAAAATTTACAAATTCGGCAGTCCAGTAATGACCATTGATACATGGAATTTCGGATAAATGGAAATCTGCGATAATAAACTGCACGACCTTGCGATTATAATGCTCTTTTTCGCTTTACATTGGGAAACTACAGTTGGTTATTAAGAAAAGAAGGGAACTTAAATTATAACGTATTAATTTTCTTTCGTCTTCTAAAGAAGGAGAGCTTTCGGAGACTGCAACAATAACAGCTACTATATGTCTACAGGAACAATTATAAAAAATAAAATAAAATAACATTAGGTAAGGCATCTCAGTTTCCTTATCGTTGGCTAAATGACGCTACAAATTAACACAATTGCTTTTACCTTCTGTTTCCTGCTCCTAGAAAAGAAATTCGTCGAAGTACCGGGTGTTCATTAAAGCTCGTAGCTTCCATCATCAATGTACGGTGTGTTCATCAAATTGCTGTACGAAAACGGGTGCTTCGTTACACTACGACGTGTGTTTCACATTCTTCACCTTGATTGGGGAATGAAGAGATTTTCAGCAACATTTTTCCCGTAACAATGTGGAGAGAAATATGCCGTCGTTTTAACATACTCGAAAATATTGTACAAAAAAACGACCTGGTAAAATTGGCAAACACGCACTGGAAATACCACCGCTGCGCACAAATCGCAAACAGTTGCTAAAACTTGTTTTGAATTGGGCTTTTTATTCATTACCCATATTCATTCCGATCTCCAATAAATAAAATGAGGAAAAGTGGCTTAGATAGCTGAAACAAAATTAAACGCGTAATCAGTTAAAAATGCAGTGAAATTATGAGGGCTCTACTAGAACACGAATCGTGAGTACGTAAATTTCCAACCCTCCTTATTTATTCGTACCGTTCTTTATACGGGGTGGTAAAATTACATTTTCCGAACGTGCGAACGTCCAATAAACCAGTCAAATCTCAAATGTGTTTTTAATTTTCTGCTCTAGTAAATTTCGCTGCGAATTAATTTCGCGAATTTAATAATTCTTCGTAAATTCACTTTTTTAATTAGTTAGATAAGCACATTACTGAGCTTAATGAAAATCGTCTTTCATTTCAGGTGGTTTATGTTGGAATTAAGGTATTATTAAGTTATATATTCCAACTACTGTACTTGGTTTAGTCTTAATTATATCTGCACCGCTTTCTTATGAAATTATTTGTTTCAGTATGTGGGATCGCAAGCTTTGGGCTTCGTGTTCGGCGGGATTGGATCGGCGTTCCTTTTGGAAAACAGCGCTAGAGATTCTTTAATTCAGCCGTTAATTAAGGAGAGTATGCGACGTTTGATTATGTACTCCCGTGAAGACTATGCGCAAAAAACCTTGGCGATGATACAAGAAAGCGTAAGTACACTTTGCTTGTAATATATACGTAGACGTACAGATTTCAATTTCTCAAGCGGAGCTCTTTTTTCTTGAATATCTCACGTTTTCAGTTGCGTAAGCTCAAGATAAATATTGGTTCATGTCGAATATTGTGACGGGGTTGGTAAAGCTGTTTTTTGTGCGGCAAAATAGATGGACTTGACTTTGAAGTTTTCCAATACCGATCTTATGTTGCGAAAATCGGAAATTTGTCACGATCAAATGAAAAAGATGATGAAATGAAAGCAATAATTTGTTAGGAAATTACTAAGCATTAAAGTGTGTTCCTTTCGTGGTAGGCAACGTTTGATTTCCAATTTTTCTTTCCTGAAATTTGGTGTATCATTTTCCTGTTGTATGATTTTCCACATTTATTTGAGATATTGTTAATTTCATTAAACTGAACGCAGAACGGTCAACTGTTTGTTGTTTAATAGAAACCCATAATGCACATATCTTTAAATATAAGTACAATGTCAGTGATTGGAAATTTCGGAACAATACCATGCTTACAATAGAAGAAAAGTGAAGATACAAGATTGTTTGCTGACCTAATACGTATAACGTTAAAATATTGTTGTATGTACACGGTGATCCATAAATGTAGTATATATATATAACATTTTATTACTGTACCTAGGGAGTGTCACCCATACTACATACGATTACTGAGCTATCCGTGGATCAAATAAAATTGTTACATTAAAAATTTGTGCCAGTGCCGCAGGAGTTTCATTTTATGGAAGTAAGGTTTTCGACCCTTGTAAATGTAACTAAGCCCGTATGCCAGTACACTTCATATCGCCGAAAGTTATGCAGAATTTTTTTGATAAACTTGTAGAGAAAATTCAAAAGATAACTATTTCAATGCTTGTACAAAGAAGTACATCGAAAAATCAGATCTGGAATATTGTATACCATACAGAAAAACTTAAATAGCTAATACAATAAATTATATAAAATTTTAAAAATTTGGCACTTGGGGGTCCTTGAACATGAAAATACGCAAATCCAACACACGAAAAGAAATTCCTACTGCAAATCCTTTGACCTAAAATTTCATGGAAAATTAGAGTGACTTTTTTATGGCATGTGTCGTGCCCGTGGAAGTAATTATAGATTAAACAATGGGCAACAGTGTGCAAAATATAACAGTTGAATTTTTTTCAATTTTAAAAGTTAAATTAGGCGTTATTTATTTATTTATTTATTATCCCTCTCTTGTTATGGGCCCGCAACAGGCTTGCGCCTAATTACAGAATAATAATAATATAATATAATAATAATAGCTATTATTATTGCCTCGTCATATAATCTACTATTTTGAACTATACTCGTATATATGGAAATAGACTTGATGTAAAAATAATGTTACGTTTTTAAAACTACTTGCCATTTTTGTATTCACATTACAACGGTTCAAAAGAAAACCATTTTTCTAATTATTGATATTAATATTCCTCTCCCCATTAGTGTCCCTACACTTTTGTCTTATTCGTAAAAAGAAGTGTACGATATCTCCATACGATTTTTACTTAGGTCCAAAATAGAAATTTTATTTTTTTATTTTAGCATAGCTACCGTTGCACAATGCACAGACTCCGTTTGCTTCACTACGTTTTTTCATTGGACGTAATCTGAGGTGTAGTAAAAGTAGAATGAAGTTTGGTACCGTCTAGAGTCTAGACTGAGATCAATGAATTATCGACTGTGCTTTGGGGAGAAGGGATTAAGTTATGAATAAGATCCTAAGTATTTCTTTATTGCAGAAGGTTAAAAAGGGCAATTAAATTAGCACTAGCACAACGACCCCTCCGTCATTTTCATCTGCATGTGGGGAAAACATATTTTATGTAGAAAAATGTTAACAGTAAATTAAAACGGACAGCGCAAAGTTTAAAATCGGGCCACCCGACGTAAATGAATTTAAAAGATTTTAGGGTTTTCCTCGAGAGTAAATTTAGTTAGTAGACTTTGTACACACATTAAAAGAGCCGTTTTACATATTCTCTCACACCGAGGTACATAACGCAGGTCAAATGAGTTGAACCCCCTTGTGGCGAATTGCGGATGTGGTGCGGCGTATGTCTTTATCCCTATCTTAAATAAGGTAACCGCCGTACAGGTGCCAACTAGTTTGGGAATACCAATCTAAACTAAATATTTGATTAATAGATATCGCCAACGGGGGTTTGGCGTAATAGGCGCCGTACATATTCGAAAACAAAACTAGGCTGCGTTCCGATTAAGAGCCCATTTTGCACATCAATACTCACGGTCAAGTGAATTCCCCGTCTCTAATTTGACCCGGCCATATTTTATTAGAATTGCGCAATTTCCAAAAAGTAACGACCCCCTTTATTCGCGTTCCTTATACCAAATTTCCGATCCACTCCATCGTATCCATTTGTTTGATATATTTTCCAATGAACTTTTATACTAATATGAATATAAAACAAAATTTCGATAATGTCTGATTGGAGCACTTTCCCCAAAAGCGGAACCGTAGAAAAATAAGCACGTTCGTAAACAAGAAGTTACGAATCCTTTCTGTATAAATGTTAATGCCGGATTTATTTGATAAATGTATCATCATTTGATGCTTACACAAGCAAAAAAGGACCTTCCGTTCATAAATAAATATGTCGGTGACGCTTCCGAAATCGAATTGCCTCCCGGTTCCCTACAATCTCAAACGTTCCATTACTTTTACATATAAAGTTATAAGGGAGAGCTACCTTCTATCTTGTTCAAAGTCATTACTCCTTCAATCAATACACAAGTTAGCTACGATGAGTTTTAGAATCGAATTATCTATCTCGTTTTATGCATAGACTCCCGTAATTGATAACCAATGTTATCAATATGCAAATTAGGAAAATGTTATGATGTCGTTTATTCCATCAACGCCAATTGCGAAAAAAACACTTTTCAGATTTAAAACTTTGCAATTGGTTTGCAATTTCAGAAATCTAATCAAACATGTTGCCAATCTCTTCCGAATTATAATGGGAGACCTTCGCTGAAACATCTCGCAGTTAAACAAAAGTTCAATAATAAATCGAAAATTGAGTACAGATACCCAATTGTAATTATTGTTGATATGACAATAAATATTTCACATGGTTCTTGCAGCTGCATCTTTGAAAACAAGTAAAGTGATACCTAGATCAAAATTACAAACATTAAAGTGTTTCTCTCCTGGAACTGCCCTACTAATATAAAATTGCAGCCTCGACCTCACAGAACATAGGCGATCCGCAACCCATAAGCCTCTAAGCATGATACTAGCTGTAACTACTGTGACTGTAATATCGTCCCAGGTTTGCTAACAACATTCTCTCAATAGGAGAATATGGCTACACTTTATTCTATTAATTTATTGTTAGAGGAAGTTCTCCGTTCGTGTCGTTAATTTGACCAGCATTTTCCCTGGCGAACTTTAATTTGACTGTGTAAACATCCAACAAGACTTTTATAAATTACTTAAATGCAACGATGCGACGATAACGCGTCCAATTTCCAGGTTCCCAATTACGAACGAATCAAATTTAATATTAAAAAAAAAATACGCGGTGCATATTTGTGCTTCTATAGAAGCCGAACGGGTAGCATTCAATTACTGAACGTACGATAATGGTTGTACTTGTAACAGAAGCTCTTAAGAGTTTCAAAGTTTCCAAGCACTTCGAATTTCTACAAAAACGTAACGATTTATCAAATTCTAGAGAAAGCCAAATTCTTATCTGATTTATTCAAATTTTTTATAAAATACGATTTTACATAATGCACTCTCAATCAAAAGGCCGTTCGATTCATTCAGTAAGGGTGAACGAGAGTCTTGTATCAGCGAATTGTAATCATTTCATTAAAGTTGTGTCTAGCAAACTTTTATTTCTCCGACGCACCACAAAACACTGCAATGTATTAGTTGGTGGAAAATTGAAAACTAAAGTTAACTTTTTACAGATTGGGTGCTGTGGAGCAGAAGGGGCTCACGACTATCTGAACTTGCGGCAACCTCTTCCCACTCAATGCAGAGACACCGTAACTGGAAATCCGTTCTTCTACGGATGTGTGGATGAATTAACTTGGTACTTTGAGGAGAAGGCCGCCTGGGTTACCGGTTTAACAATGGCCGTCTGCTTTCTACTTGTAAGTAACTTATTTTAACTTTTGAGCTGTGTAACAAATCAATCGGCGAACAAGTTTGAATTTGTGCTTCGGGTGAAAGGATTCACTAAAAAACTGCCGTTGATATTTCCCGGACTTCTTTGTTATTCTTGGATTTATGTTGGCCTTTATCTTTAAGCTACACGATCCTTGCAAACTTTATATACTTTTCCAGTGATTAATTGGTCAGGATTAGGAATTGTCGTGAAACCAAGTTAGACTTGTCGAGAATTCGAATTATATGCTTATACGCGGGTCAAACTTTGCCGAATTTGATCTTACATCTTTCCCCTCTTACTTTATCGATTTGAATAGATGAGGGAAGTTTTTATTTCTGGAGTGTCTTTATTTGAACAGAGTATAATTGTGGATTCACTTGTGAAAGGGAAGCCGTACAGGGCACGTAATTTGCTGTTGTGTAATCTCTAGTACAACCTAGATTTCCGCTATTAATTTAGGACTCCATTCTTACCCCCCAGCTAAATATTTAAATTTCAGCAATATGAAAAACGCGCTGTCAAAGAAAATGTATCTGAGGATATATTATCTTCCAAGGTATAATAAAAGAATACTTATGCTTGCTTGTATGGCATTCCTAATATTAAATAACAATCACTAGATTTTAATACAACGTAGACTCCCTTTGTTGGTGGCCCCTTTCTTATTACAATGCACATGACCTCTTGGAAACTCACTCAACAGTATACGAAATGCTTATATCATCGACTGATCCCTTTTAAGCTTTGGCTGCATCTAATGCAAAAATTCCTTTAATGGTAACTGATGCATTCCTTTATACAAAATCAATTTAATTAAATTAAAAATTAAATTTGAGGTTATACATACAGTTAGGGTATTTTGACATTTGATATTAAACCCTTGGTAATGTTAGACAGTCTGCATCTGCAACGTACAGATGTGCGTGCAAGTATAGCAGTAGTATATTATAGAATGCTGTAACTTCTACAAGTAGGCAGAGTATCAAATTTAGTGGGGTGAAATTTATTGGCCAAATAAACTACACGATTAATGAAAATTCAAAAATAATTACTCAGATTGTAGTGGAAATGACAAACGTCTTCCCTGCGTAATTTAACTTCTATGGAACGTTGACTCTTAATGGGTTTCGGAAACCTTTCGAGCGGAGATGTCTAAGATATATTTTGCCTTCTTAAATACAGTTCTTCGGTTACAATTGTGAGTGAACAAAAAAGCTAATTCAGGTGAATTTCAGTGGGGAAGCACAACTTCTGTCTTTTGTACTTTCGTTAATATAACGATTCCTATTGGCACAATTAAAAACATGATGCACTTAATTGCTACACGTGACATACAAAAAGATGTAAAACCATGGATAAGAAAAAACAGTCGAGTTTAGATCAAGGACGTGATGTTTTTTTCGTTATCACGAATGGACTTACAAAAAACTTTCGTATTATGTTACTGCACTGCAAGTGCACATAAGGGGATTTGAACTTTGGAACCCATACCACAATTACGCTCTCTTTCAAGATAACCCGAGACAGCCCCGTTTACTCTCATTCTTCCAATTTAAGAAAAAAACCACCTCCTCTTATAGAATCCACATCGTTATTCCCGACGGCACTCGAAATTCCATCTACGCCGTCATAACTGATAAAACGCCTGCATCGATTATCTAGCACGTGACAGTGTTTGTCGAAAAACCAATTAATTCTTGTCCGATAAGAACTTTTTATTAATGTTCCATAATGTTACCCATTATTTATCACACCAACTAAACACAACAAGTAGAACGGAATTAAACAATCTTTGGACTAAATTTACAATAAGAAACTAACTTTAAAATGGCAGATCATCAAATTTTTACGGAAATGTGCTAGTTATATGAACTTATATGAAATACCTGGCCTTACTACCTGTTCCAGAGTTTAAACTTGTAAACCAAATGAACAAAAAATGACTAATTTCACCGTAAAAGTGATAACATTTCTACCTAAATGGCGGTTTAAAATGTGAAGTTTCTTAACAAATGCCACCAAAATGCAATCAACGTAAACACTACTATCGTAGGGATGCGACCATTTATTAAACCTATTGAAATTCAACATCGAATGTAGACAATATTGTCTGCCAATATCCTTGTGTATTTCTTGATTAAAGCACGTAAGAGGTATACATTACAACGATACCCTGCAATCGGCATAAAGTGATCTTCCCCGGACAACCCTTAGTATATATAGGGGCGACCCTTCTTGTAAATAAACGATGCACACTGCATTTATATTGTTTAAGCCTTAGCTAAGCAAAAGCTTAAGATACAATTTCGTTTCATCAGAATTGCGGCTACTGCCAATTTGTAGGCCGACGGAATGGAATAGCATCTCGATCCCTCCATTTGAAATTCCCTAAATAAATTATTATTAAACGATTCGCCCTAGATAAAGTGGTTTAATTATTGCAATCCTGTAACGTTTAGAAATTGGTTTTAGAATTAATCGCAATTGAATTAACCACTTTGGAGGTGCGCGACACAGAAAGTAATGTAAGAAAAGCTCTCACGCACCCAATTTATTCATAAGGTACTTAAATCTTCATAAAATTGTGTAATAAGTTGAGAATTATTGACATTTATTGTAGCATAATGAAGACATAAACCCTTAAATTCGTTCCAAAATTCCCGCAGAATTTCCCCCGAGACGTGCTATCTGTCGTCGGAAAATCAAGGTGTGCGCACAGCGAGGGGTAGGTAGTAACAGCACAGGTGTTGTTAATAAAAATATATTACTATAAAATAGAGTGGGGGGGGGGGGGAGTTTTCCCTTAAATTCCATAATGTACGCAGAGAAAATGTGCACGTACAACATTTATTCGACGACTTTTTGTATAGAAATAGGAATTCTTACAGTTGAGTCATTTATGTGTTGGTAAATCGTTACAATAATAAACTGAAAATTTAATTTAACGAGAGCGGCCCTTTTGTTTGCTCGGCCCTTCTTCGTCGTTATCGTTTAGCCTCGCAATTTATAGCAATAGATACAAGTCTAAGTTACAACAAACCTAATAACGCAAACTGACATTTCGGGCTAACGATGTCCATTTGTTAAGAATTTTATTTTGTTGCTTTCATTTATTTCTCAGTGTTCATCATTTCACACAAAAGCCTTAACAAAACTCAAGTGAGTCGTTCAATTTTGCAAGGAAACATCCCTTAACGCGAATCATTCCGTTCATTGTAGCTGACGTATAGTAAACGGAAATTAAACTTTCAGGGCACGCGATATTCAAATCTAAACCAGATTAAAATTAAACAGCTATCTATCTAGCGAAATATGTACTTACTTCCGCGTTCTAACACTCTCTCCATCAATTTTTGTTTACTAAATCCATCGGGAGCAAAACAGATTTCAAAAGGATTCCGTTAATATTTACCGAGAAGAGCTAATCGAAATCTATTTGAAACAAAAACTGTGAATCTACATGAAAATCGAGCCGTAGTTTCGTCCAATTGAGTCAAATATCTAGGGAATTCATTTCTTACAGCCGATGCAATATAATCACTTTATTTTGAAAGTTTGAAAATTACGTTTGAATTTGCTCCGCCGATCTTTGAAAGAGAAATACATTTTTCATTTGAAATAAAATTGCAATTTTCACTTAACACGATTACGAGAAAGTTTGTTCCTTATATTCCGCTAATAAGGAACGTTATTGCATTAATTCAGATTAGCGTTCTTTTTATTTGAATTTTAAAAAATGTTTCGCACATAAATATTACTAATAAGGCCGTATAAAATTCAGTTTTAATTACCAAGGGAACGCTAATGCTCTGCAGAATTGGCTATTATTAATGAGAATCCGTGGCACCGGGTTTATAATCCGCTGCATAGTTTCGACTTTTATTTGTTTCGCGGAATGTTTCCCCGAGTTCTAAAACTGAACTATTCCCAATTTTGAAGCTTTCCGAACGGAGAAGTCCATTGATCAGCAGTAGTAATGCTCTGAGGAGCTTTCTAAAGGCGTTAAGGATTGTATTCGGATGGTTAAATCTGCTTCTCCCAAAAGAAATGCGGCCCCCTCAAAATACGCCGAGTTGAAATAGTAAAATCAATGGGAACTCGGAAAGACTAATGCGACAAGGATATATGCGTAACTGGCCCCTTTTCTGTACGGAAAGAAAAAATTCACCCCTGCAGTTTTGCGGTTCGTTGTGCCATTACGGTATCATTTGAAATTGAGTTTTTATTCAAGACTTCAATGCAAGATTTTCAAAGAATAATCTAAAATAAGCTTTCATTTGGGATTACGAAAACCTAATTATTAATTCTTTGGGGATATAACCTTGCCCTGGTGGCAAACAATAACATTCTTACGACCATAAAGAATGAAGGTCAAATAAATTTATTTCTTCGATTCAAACACCAACCCTTAGTTAAAAATAGATAAATTAACTTGAATAGAACGATTGTGTTAATGAGCAAAAGACACTAAATAATTATTTTGGTTGTCTGAAATATTTCGCGTCCGAGACAGTTACTAACGAAATATTTTACCCTGCTTCTGAGGACCCTCGAATTATCAAAATACACGCGACACTCACATTCACACCAGGTCCATCGTCGCTGTGCTATGAACAACTTTTGTATGTACTGGTGTTTCTACTGAATTTACTTATGCTCTATGATAAAAGTAATAGTCCAGTAAAACTTTAAATTGGCTGGAGCATTAATTGAGATAGTAGTCATTTTTTGTTCTTATTGAAGCGAATATTCTAGAAATCCCGATGGATATCGAAGCGCCATGAAAGATTAGTGATTGGGGATAAGAAACTAAGGCGGAAGTAACACATTATTTCCGGGAAATATGATGTTTGTTCTAGAATATTCGAGAGCATTCGAGAACTTTCGAACAAGACCGGCGTTTGCTATATAATCAAAATTGCATTGTGATGGAGTTAGTTCCAACATCAGTGCCGATAGTGATGTATTAAGTCCGCCATGTGT